ATACATTTACCAATAATATTACTTATCTTATAGATATACTTTCTTTTCAACATTTGATATTTTTTGACTTTTAGTTTTTCCTAATTACCTGAATATGAAATGATATTATCAGGGAAAAATTTTTTAAATAAAGCAAAAAAGTTTGCATATAAAAGAAGAGGTTTACATATTTGATATATTGAGCTATATTAAAGTTAAGGACTTTTGTTTATCAAAAAACATCTTAAAGTGAAAAGATAAGCTAAAAGCTTGAAGATATTTAAGTTTACAGGATTAGTTTTAAGAATTTTTGAAGAACTTACACAAACTCCTAAATAATGGGGCTGGTGTGATGTAGAGCGTTAAGCTGCTACTTGCAATGCTTACATCCCATAGCAGAGTGTCGGTTTGAGCCCTGGCTGATCTGCTTTTGATCCAGCTCACTGCTAATGCACCTGGGAAGGCAACAGATGATGGCCCAAGTACTTGGTCTCTGCCACCCACATCAGAGTCTGATGGAGTTCCTGGCTCCTGGCTTTGGCCTGGCCTTGCCTCAGCCATTACTACCATTTGGGGAATGAACCAGCACATGGAAGATATCTTTCTGTCTCTCCCTCTCTCTCTGTCACTGTGCCTTTCAAATAAATAAATAAATACTAAAAAGCAATCAAATATAAGAGTGGTCAGAACACATGGACAGATGTTTCACATAAAAGACAACATGTATGTCCATTGATTATATAAAAAGATATTCAGGGTAGAGCAAATTGGTAGCTGAATAACATCCTCTAGTGATTATTTCCTTATAGAAACATCAATTTGAACAAGGATCCATGTGCAAAAATACCTTCACAAAAGCTAAGGAAACCAGATGAGAGACCAAAGTAGCTAGTTTTAGAATAATAATAATAATAATAATAATAATAAAAGTTACATTAAAGAAGGCATGAAGGAAAGAAATACCCATATCACCCCTCCCCAACTCTTAGCAGCACAATATGCCTCCTTCTTGTGGGAGGGAGAATAAATTGAGTCTAAGTCTTAGAATTGGAACCCAGTACCAGGCTGAGTCTCATGTTCTCTTGTCCCTAGGTCAGTGCCCAAATACAGAAAGAACCCTTGACCTATGTTAGCCTAGTAACCAAGGGACTGCCTCTATAACCCCTCCCTTTACCCCAGGCAGCACAATCTGAAAAGAACTCCATCTTCTGTGATCTTCTGTGCAGTAGGACATGGAAGTAAGCACAGGACTTTGTTCTGGAATTCAGTGCTGGGCTATTAAAACTCAAGACTTAATGACTCCTACTCTCTCTGGACTCAACTTGGTGCCAGACAGGGATGTGTGAATCTATTTGGACAGACTTGTATTCTGACCAGCTTCACCTGATTTTGACCTTGATTCTGCCCCTTGGTCTGTGCTGATCTCAGCAATCTATGAGCTGAGGATGTGACCCAGAGTTGTAGCATTGGCAGCCATGAGTGCCCACCCCATCCTTCCATCAACCCCAGGCCACACTACACAAACTGCATGATTGTTCACCAAGGGGATCAAGAGGATGTTAAGCCTTCAAGTTGTTGCATAAGAGCCTAGGACTAGTCCCTCCATGGTGAGGACTAGTGCCGGACAGAATCAAGTAGTTCCTGACCACATGCTGGTGATTGAATTAGGTGTCCCATAGGGAGAAGGACTACTTTTCTAAAGAACTTTTAGAGAAAAATAATAAAGATCAGAGCAAAAATAAAGGTTAAAAATGTACAAAATAGTGACAAAATTAGTAGTTTTTGAAAAAGATAAACAAAATCAGCAAACATTTAAGTAGAAAAAGTAAGAGAAAACTCTAATAAAATCAGAGATGAAAAAAAGAGACAACCATAAAGAAATGTTAAATGTTTAAGGAGATAGGGCATTATGCAGTGTATACATGTATAGCAACATCACATGACACCCCATAAATAGGAAAGTTTTTATGTGCTAGTTAAAATAAAAAGAGCTATTACAACTGACACCACCTCTGCTTTGGATCCACCTTCCTGCTGGTGCATCTTGAGAGCAGATGGTGATGGCTCAGAGGCGTGGGCCCCTGCCATCCATGTAGGAGACCCAGATGATGTTCTTGGCTCCTGGCTGTGGCCTGGCCCAGCCCTACCTGTTGCAGGCATTTGGGTAGTGAGCCTGCGGATGTTGCACTGTTTTTTGAAGGAAAGGAGGGCCTATTTTCAAGTTGTTAAACTGCAGTTTGGAGACAGATGATTTGACAAACTTTCCAGTATTGGAGAAGGTACTCTTGTGCTATGGCAAAATGAAAGTAATCAAGCCTTGTCAATGCTCTGCAGACAGAAGCCTGCAGATAAATGCAAGCACCAAAATTTTTTTTTTTTTGTGAGGGGAGGGGACAAAATGTTCTTTTTATAGGTTACTAAGGCTCAGATGACATTAAATTGAAATGTGAATTTATAATTGTTTTCTTCCTGGCATAGATAATTCATTGTTATAAACTGTCATAGGTGGACTTATTTTCTTAATGACAGAAGAAAATGAAAGTGTAACTTGAAAAATCTTGAAGAATTGATATTTTCTTTTACTTTACTTGGTGTTTGCCTAGAAAATGAGATTTAAGAGCACTGATTTTGTTCTTTGGTGTGATTCATGAGTCAGGATTTTCAGCTATTGTTGCTATCATAGATTTTCTGCATATTATCATGCTAAAAACCACTCATAATTTCTACTTTTCATTTAAGGGAAATAACAAAAAATTGTTTTTAAAGATTTATTCATTTATTTGAAAGGCAGAGTTATAGAGAGGGAGGGAGAGGTAGGAAAAGAGAGAGAGAGAATTTCTACTTCCTGAATGATTACAACAGCCAGGGCTGGGCTAGGCCAAAACCAGGAGCCAGGAGCTTCATCCTGATCTCCCATGTGAGTGCATTTGGGCCATCCTCTGCTGCTTTCTCAGGTGCATTAGCAGGGAGCTTGATCAGAAGTGAAGCAGCCAGGACTCAGACCAGTGCCCATATGGAATGCTGGTGCAGCAGGTGGTGACTTAACCCGCTGCATCCCAGCTCTGGCTCCACAAAATTTCTTATGAAATCAATATTTGAACAATTTTGTACAAATTAGTGTCTTCTTTTAAGATAGTATTTTTCTTTATGGGGGCTGATGCTGTGCTGCAGTAGGTTAATCCTCTGCCGATAGTGCTAGCATCCCATATGGGCGCTGGTTCTAGTCCCAGCTGTTCCTCTTCTGATCCATCTCTCTGCTGTGGCCTGGGAAAGCAGTAGAAAATGGCCCAAGTTCTTGGGCCTCTGCACTCGTGTGGGAGACCTGGAAGAAGCTCCTGCTCTTGGCTTCAGATTGGCTCAACTCCAGTTGTGGCAGCCAATTTGGGAGTGAACCAATGGATGGAAGACCTTTCTGTCTGTCTCTCCCTCTCACTATCTGTAATTCTACCTCTCAAATAAATAAATAAATAAAATCTTATTTTTTTAAAAAAAGAAATAGCTTATTTTTACATGAATGAAATTATTTTTCTGGTAAAGATTAAGATTGTATAACATTTTGTGCATATTTTAAAAAAAGATTTATTTAGTTGAAAGGCAGAGTGACAGAGAAAAAGGGAGAGACAGAGATCTTTTGTCTGTTGGTTTAATCCCCATATGGTCACAACAGCAGGGGCTGGGCTAGGCTGCAGCTAGGAGCCAGGAGCTTCATCTAGTCTCCCATGTGGGGTGCAGAAGCTTGAGCTCTTGGGCCATCTTTGACCGCCTTCCCAGGTGCATTAGCAGGGAGCCAGATTGGATGTGGAGAAGCCTGTACTTGAACTAGTGCCCATATGGGATGCTGGCATTTCAGGCAGTGACCTAACCCACTGTTTCACAGCACAGATCCCCATTTTGTGCATTTTTAATGGCTGTGTGTGTGTGTGTGTGTGTGTGTCAGAGTGAGAGTGTGAGAGAAGTGGTGTGAGGCCAGTCTTTAATTAGGTCTCAACTTGGAGGGGTGGGCTTTTGGTGTAGCAGTTAAGATGTCATTTGGGACACATATATCTCATATTGTATCAGAATATCTGAGTATTTTATTAAAGATTTATTTATTTATTTTAAAGGCAGAGTTAGAGGGAGAGACAGATATTTTTTATCTGCTGGTTCACTTGGTAGACCAGGCTAAAGCCAGAAGCCTGAAACTCCATTTGGGTCTTCCATGTGGCAGGGACCCAAGCACTTGGGCCATTTTCCACTGCCTTTCTAGGTGCATTAGCAAGGAATTGGATTAGAAGTACAGCAGCCAGAACTCCAACCAGTGTTCACATGGGATTACCCTGCTGTACCAAGACACTGTTCCCAGGAATATCTGAGTTCTGATCCTGGCTCTGCTCCTGGTTCCAGCTTTCTGCTGATGCATATCCTGGGAGGTAGCAGTTAATGGCTCAAGTGGTTGGGTGCCTGTGACCCAGTTTAAATTCCTGCTTGGTGTTTTTGGCTGCCCCTGCTTGGGCTGTTGTGGGCACCTGGAGGAGTGAATCAACAGAAGAAAGAACATATCTGTTAGTCTCTGTCTGCTTTTCAAAGAAAGAACACAAAACTCAATTGGATCTATTGGTTATAGAGAGGGGATTTTTCTGGAACACATTGAAATTAGTCATATCCCTTTGAAGTAAAATCCATTTTTTCTGATGCACTTTGCAGGCAAAATTGGCTTATTATGTGTATTTTTATACCTAATTACAAATATAAAAATTAAGAGTCTTGCTTAAAGGACACTGAAGTATTTTCAGTTCTAGTCCATAGCATTCTTATATTGTTAGAATACTATTTACTACATGATTATAATTTGTAAATATTTTTCTGGTACATATATATTCTATATGTGATATTTATATTGACTGTTATATAGACAATGATATTCTAATATCAGTTATTTCTATTTACATTTTTAGTTTGTATTTTTATCTTATGTTCTTAGTGAGTTTGATCATATTTGATGATAGGGTTTTTTTCCTTCTGTTTCTGAACCATTTCTATAGTTAATGGAATACTGGATTTTTCAAATTTCCTGAAGACTCTGAATGAAGTTTCTTATTTGGTCTCTCAGGATCCAGGTAAAAGTACTATTCTTTAAAAGTATAAAGAGTATGATCTTAATAGTAAATGATTGTAGTAGAGTGGGTATATGAATTTATGTCTTTTAGAATCTCAATTTCTGAGGTCAGCGCTGTGATGTAGCAGGTAAGGCCACTGTTTGCAGTGCCAGCATCCCAAATGGGCGCTGATTCAAGGCCCGGTGGCTTCACTTCCAATCCAGTTCACTGCTAATGCACCCGGGAAAGCAGCAGAAGATAGGCCAAATGCTTGGGCCCCTGCCATCCATGTGGGAAACCAGGATGAAGCTCCTGGCTCCTGGCTTCAGCCTGGCCCAGCCTCTGCTGTTGCAGCCATTTGGGGAGTGAACTGGCGGATGGAAGACCTCTCTCTCTCTCTGCTTCTGCCTCTGCCTTTCTGTAACTCTGCCTTTCAAATAAATAAATAAATCTTTTTTTTTTTTAAGAATCTCAATTTCTTTTTTTTCCTTCTAGGTGTCTAGATTGAAAAAAATTAGACATGAGTCCCCCCCCCCCCCAAAAAAAAAAAAAAAACACAAAACCATTAAGCAGTCTGGGGAGCTGATGTTGTAGCCTAATGTGTTAAGTCACCACCTGCAATGCCGTATGGGCTTTGGTTCAAGTCCCCTTGCTCTGCTTCCAGTCCAGCTCCCTGCTAATGACTTGGGAAAGCAGTGGAAGATGGCCCAAATGCTTGGGCTCCTGTACCCACGTGAGATACCTGGAAGAAGCTCCTGGATCCTGATTTCAGTCTGACCTAACCCTGGTTGTTACAGCCATTTGGGGAATAAAACAGTGGATAGAAGATTTCTCCCTCTCTCTCTGTCTGTCTCTTCCTCTCTGTAACTCTACCTTTCAAATAAAATAAATAAATAAAAAAAGAAATCTTCAATATCCAGTTTTTCCTGCCTATAACTGCTAATTATCTTAAAATACTATTTTTGTTATGCCATTCTGTTGCTGAAAAATGTAGATGATGTTCCTATTATCAGATAAATCTAGTCCAAACTCCTATGCTTAGCTTCCTCACTCCTTCATAATTTTTCTTGTTGATTCTCCTCTCTCCTTCCACCGAATATTTCACAGGCAAGAATCCTTTACTCCAGTTAATTGAAAAAATATTCTGGACATGCCAATTTTATTCTCCGATGCCTTTGTGCATGGGTATGGTGTTTCCTGTTGAAATCACACATCTTTTTTTTTTTTTTTTTCCCCTTGATGGTGGTTTCTTTACTGTGTCAGGAATCTACTTAAATTTCTCCCTAAAAATTACAGATATTTATGAGTCTTCTAGTTAGCTTTAGTTTATATTATATTTAAATTATGAATAAAGTGACTTGAAGCAGTATTCATGTTAATGATAGAAACAGGGGCCAGCATTGTGGCATAGTGGGTTAAGCTGCTTCCTGTGATGTTGGCATCCCATATGGGCACTGGTTCAAGTCCTAGCTGCTTTACTTCTGATCCTGCTCCCTGCTAATGTGCCTGGGAAAGCAGCAGAAGAAAGTGCCTGGGCCCCTGCACCTATATGGGAGACCCAGATGAAGATCCTGGCTTTCAGCCAAGCCCAGCCCTGGCTGTTGGCAGCCATTTTGGGAGTGAGTCAGTGGATGGAAGATATCTTTGGCTCTTCCTCCTTCTGTAACTCTATCAGATAAACAAACAAATAAATAAATTCTTTTAAAAATGATAGAAATAGTACTTCCAAATATTTGAGATCTCAATGTTACCTGATTTTACTAGTTTCTCATTTCTCCATTAACAAGATCAAATTCCTGGGCTTGTCTTTGGTATTATGTATTTTTATAGTTATCTAAAGAATACTCATTTTTTTAGAATCAAGGATACATGAATACAATAGCCTTTATTTTCCTGGATAAGCCAGCAAAAGGCAAGAAAAATTAATGTTTGCTTATTCATTCATATAATAAATGTTATTAAATCATTATCATATACATCAGTAATCAATATAGATATGATACTTGGCTTGTTTTTTCTACTTGGCATTTTAATTAACTTCCATGAAATTAGGTTTTTCCTGATTTCCTTTTATCTACTTGGTTTCTGTTTACATTTTTTTTCTGACATATAGATTTTTATATGAGCTTGTATTCCTAAATACTGCCTACTTGTTGAACCACAGGTTAGAATAGCTTGTTTACTTCCATATGTTCTTTCATTTTTCAAGTTCTGATTTCTGTATTGAGCCTATTTTATGTTTATGGCCAAAGTGTTTTGAGGCTAACCAAGAACTAAGAATTTCCATTTTCCTTTTAAAACAACATATATAATTATTGACCATGTTATTTTCATAAACTATCTAAGCAATATGTAGGTGTGTAAAGCTATGACTCTTTATCCCAGCGTAGATTGTAATAGTTTAATATTGACCTCAGAATCCTTTTAATATGCAATTATTTTTATATTAAATATAATGAATTTATACATTCTTTTACATATATGTGTGTGTATATATATATGTGTGTGTGTTTTGTCCAAGGAAATTGAGTTATCAGTTATTAGGCAGAATAGTATCAGAAGCTCTAGATCCTACAGAAGCTAGTAAAAAGCCTAAGCACACAGTTAAGGATTAAGAGATTGCCCCAGAAAGTAAAGGGAAGTATATAAATATCTTGATTTAAGAGAAAAGGGCATTTCACTATCATGTTTTATAAGAAATGATATATCTTATTATTTATATTTCAATTATGAGACTGATAATCTTTTAATATAATTTATTGATCATTTGTATATTTTTCTTTCACTATTTCTCATTTATTATCCATTTTATTTTTTAAAAATTTTTAAAAGATTTATTTATTTATTTGAAAGGCGGAGTTACAGAGAGGCAGAAAGAGAGAGAGAGAGATCGATCGATCGATCGATCTATCTTACATCCGCTGGTTCACTCCACAAATGGCCACAATGGCCAGAGCTGGGCCAATCCGAAGCCAGGAGCCTGGAGCTTCTTCCAGGTCTTCCTCACAGGTTAAGGGGCCCAAGCACTTGGGCCATCTTCCACTGCTTTCCTGGGACATAGCAGAGAGCTGGATCAGAAGTGCAGCAGCCAGGACTCGAACTGGTGTCCATATGGGAGGCTGGCACCACAGACCGGGGCTTTAACCCGCTGCACCACAGCACCGCCCCTTTATTATCCATTTTAAAAATTAGGTTCATCTCTAACTGATATGTAAAATTTTAATGTTTTGGCTAATAATCCTTTATAATATATGTTATAAATGTTTTCTCTCAATCTGCTATTATTCTTTTATTTTTAGAATAGTATCTTTTTTTGGAATAAAAGTGTTACTTTCATTACAAAATTATTATTTTTTTGTTTTCTGAGTTTTGAATTGCACCTTAAAAGACCTTTCTTATCTCAATAGTACACATACACACACACTCATCATCATTATCATCATCATCATCATGAATATAAGCAATTGCTTTTCAAGACTCTGGAGAACCTGAACATAGGGAGATGGGAATAGGACAGTCTAAAATACCACAAATCTTACTGTTTTTTTACTGAGATTCAGCCTTTTTTTTCTTCAAAGAAACACCTAATGGATTGCTACAAGTCTTTGGCTTATTTCCAGAACTTTGAAAATAATTTGGTTCTGACAATTTTTGTCAGTGTTCTTGTCACTATTATGGAGGAGAGAATATTTTGAGGTCCTTCCTCTGTTATCTTTTCTCACTTGATCAGTAACTACTAGTTGAGTAAATAAATACTATTCAGTTTTTCCTTAATGATTATTTAAGGACTTATGGGTCATTATGGTTATTAAAGTCTGAATTCCAAGAAAATGTAGTCTGACTATAAAAGTGATTGCTTTCTGGAATTGACTATAGATAGAAATTGCGTTTTCTTATTGAGATAAATTAAGGGAATCAGTGATCAGAGGGAAATTTAAACGTAGCAGTTGGACACAGTTTTCAATCTGTTTAAGTTTTAAGGAAGACTTTTTTTTGTGGAAAATACCCATAATTAATTTGAATATTTTCTTCATTTTTAAAAAGATTTGTTTTATTTATTTGAAAGGCAAAGTTTACAGACAGAGGTAGGGGGAGAGACAGGGAGAAGAGACAGAGAGAGAGAGAGAGAGAGAGAGAGAGAGAGAGAGAATCTTCCATCTCTCAGATTTACTCCCCAAATGGCCGCAATGGCTGCAGCTAGGCTGGTCTGAAGCCAAGAACTCAGGGTTTTTTTCTGGGTGTCCCATGTGGGTTTCATGGACCCAAAGACTTGGGCTATCATCTGCTACTTTCCCAGGCACGTTAGCAGGGGGCTGGTTTAGAAGTGGAGCAGCTGGGTCTTGAAATGGTGCCCATATTGGATGCTTGCGTTGCAGGAGGTGGCTTAATCTGCAATGTCACAATGCCAGCCCCTCTAATTCATTTTTGATACTAAGGATATTAGATTATTCTCTCTCTCTCTTTCTCTCTCTTCTCTCTGTCTCCCCACCCACCTCTGTCTGTAAACTCTGCCTTTCAAATAAATAAAGCAAATCTTTTTAAAAATGAATTAGAAACAACACGGCTAGAAGAAAATATTCAAATTAATTATGGGTATTTTCCACAAAAAAAGTCTTCCTTAAAACTTAAACAGATTGAAAACTGTGTCTAACTGCTACATTTAAATTTTCCTCTGGCCACTGCTTCCCTTAATTTATCTCAATAAGAAAACACAATTTCCATAGATATGAACTTCCTATAGAGAAATAGGAAATCTTATAGTAGTCATTAAACTATTGCCAAACTGTTTTGTAGTGTGATAAAAAATTGAGAAAAAATTTCTTCTCTTTACTATTCTTACTTCTTTTATAATTTTTCTAAATTTCATTTTTAAGCAATTAATAACTCTCCAACATTTTGTAGTAAGCTGCTTTACTATATTATAGATTATAGCACAAGTAAGGAATCATTTTATTTAAAAATTTTAACTTAAGAGGTAAGTGTAGTATAATGATAAAGAGCAAGAATTATGTGTTGAGCTTGCTAGATTAGAATTTTAGCTTTTCTACTTTGTAATCACACAGGATTTTCTAAGCCTTAGCTTCATTTTCCATTTTATAGGCATTTTGTGGTGATTGGGATAACCCATACCTTTTAGTACATAGCCTGATGCGTAATCAGTATTTAATAAATGACAGATAGTAATGTAATAAAAGCAAAAGTTAGAATTTATTTTGGAAATATAGCCTAAAATCAGACAAATGTCTAATTGTACATGTTTAGAAAACCCTGTGTATATGTAAGATTTTTTCCCCTGCTATGTTATTGATACAAAAGAATTTCCTTTTCTAAGTAAAGCTTCTGTTTTCATGGTATAATAATTTATTTTATTTTATTTTTTTTTTTAGCATTCCAGGATGCCTTGAATACTTTCAATAGGATAAAACACGGTCGAGTTGTCACTGATGAAGTGATTGATGTTTTGGATAGCATGGATATCCCTATAAACCATGAAACTTTACAGGAAGTGCTAAAATGTTCCTATATTGACAGTGAGTGATTTTATTTTTTATAATAAATAAATATATATTATGTGAATATCAAGTTTGGATTCATCCTTTTCTTCTCTTTTACCTCTTGGTTCTTACTATTTGCAAATGACACTGCATACTGGCATCTGTAGGAAGAAATAATCTAGAAAAACTAAGTGAGAAATTTAAAAAATTGTTATATTTTGGTATATTTGGTAAAGGTCTAAGAGTAAAATTTATTTTTTAAAATTTTAGCTGTAGAAATAGTTTCTTGTATAAAAGGTCTTGGCTCCACAAGTTAGGAAACTGAAGTTTCTTGAATTCTCAGTTTTATTATGTAGATTTAATTTATTTTTATTTTTTATTTTCTTTAAAGATTTATTTATTTATTTGGAAGTCAAAGTTACATAGAGAGAGGGGAGAGAGAGAGAGGTCTTCCATCTGATGGCTCACTCCCCAATTGGCCGATCCAAAGCCAGGAGCTTCTTCTAGTTCTCCCATGAGGGTGCAGGGACCCAAGCACTTGGGCCATCTTCTACTGCTTTCCCAGGCCATAACAGAGAGCCTGAGTGGAAGTGGAGCAGCCAGGTCTTGAACCATTGCCCATATGGGATGCTGGCGCTTCAGGCCAGCCACAGCGCTGGCCCCTATATAGCTGTAATTTAAAAAGCTTGCTATGCTGTTCAGTTACCCTCAGCACAGGTGTAGATTGCTTTAAACATTATCGATATGTTTAGCAGGTATTTTGTATAATATATTTACGTTTTACTAGAAGATATCCTGTAACAGTGGATTGATTAGTGACTGGTCAATGAATGGTTAACTCATTTAATGAGTCAGATAGTCATTTAATATCTGCTGTGTCTGGAACCATGCTAGGTAATACAAAGATGAATAAAGCAGAGCTGTCAGACTCAAACTGGCACTCCTATATGGAATGCCTACTTCTAAGTGGCACCTTAAACTTCTGCACAACAAGCTTGGCTCCTTCTATTGGTGGCTTTGTAGTTGCTTTGAAGTGGTTTGGAGATAGAACCAGTCATTGCCTTGAGATAAACAGGATACATAGAATCCTATTATGTAGTTATTTACGCTGGGCTCTAGGATGGTAGATATGAGTGGAAGGATACACTAGAGTATGAAAAGATCTGTAAAATGGAGATTTAAAAGGCTAATCTGAAGCCATACTATTAAGTAGTGTTTAGGGCATTTCCCATCAGGAATAACAGAAATAATTTATGAAACTGCTGCAGAACCTTGCTTTTTGAATTATGAAATTCTGATCTGGGTCTCTGGGTCTCCTACTTTATTTGAGGAGGTAGATTTGACAATTTCATAGAATTATTGTAGGAATTAATATAAGCATCTACCATAATGCTTGGCACGTAGAAGAGGCTCAAGAAAGGTGGAGCAGAAACCTGAGTCATCCTTGACAATTCAAATTTCTCTTTCCTGCTCATCAGTTTGAAGTCCTTTTATTTTCAACTTCTAGGTATCTATTAAATCTTTCTGTTTCTATTTCCCCACCTTAGTTTGAGTTAACTTACCTTTCCTTGGGACTACTGCAATTCATTCTATCATATCTACCCATATAATTCTTAACTTTCTTTACACTACAGCCAGAATGATCGTTTTTTGAGCCAAAAATCCAATCATGTTAACTTCCTTGCATAAAATCTAATAATAGCTCTTGATAAAGAATCCTTTAATGTGGTATTCAAAGCTCTGCATAGTTTTTTACCCAGATTTTGTTTTATCTCAGACCACTTTCTTCCTTTCTTTTGGAGCTCTTGAAGTTTCAACTATATACCATGCCCTTTCCTGCCAAATAATCATTGCCTATGTTCTTTTCTTGAACTTTCCTCTCTTCCTAGTTGATTCCTACTTATATTTTAGATCTAAACTCAACTTTCAATTCTTCAGTGTTTTCCCCGTCCTCTATGGCTAGCTCATATTCTCATATTCTACATTCTTATAGCACTAAGTGTAGTTGTAATTTGTGTTTTTTATTGTTTGCTTAACATTTGTATTTCAAATAGGACTAAGCACCAGGTGAGCAGATATTATGCTTGTGTCTTCAGTACATAGCACAGTGCTTATAGCATATAACTGCTCAACAAATATTTGTTGACCTCCTCTAATCAGGAAGAACAGAATGTTCTTTTTTTTTTTTAAATATTTATTTTATTTATTTGAAAGACAGAGTTACAGAGAGAGAAAGAGAGGTCTTCCATCTGCTGGTTCACTCCCCAGATGGCCGCAACGGACGGAGCTGGGCTGATCCAAAGCCAGGAGCAAGGAACTTCTTCTGGGTCTCCCACGTGGGTGCAGGGGCCCAAGGACTTGGGCCATCTTCTACTGCCATCCCAGACCATAGTGGAGAGCTGGATTGGAAGAGGAGCAGCCAAGACTAGAACCAGCACCCAATGGGATGCTGGTGCTTCAGGCCAGGGCTTTAACCCACTGTGCTACAGCGCTGGTCCCCAGAATGTCCTTTTTGTGGCATTTATAAGTAGGCTGCAATTTGAGGCAAACTTCCTCATAAGGAAGATCTCTTTGTCTTTTCACAAGGAAAATCACTATAAGAGCTATATTTGATTTGGAGGGTTAAAACATACTGAGAAATGTGTGTAAAGCAGAAATGTAAATTGAAATACTCTACGTGGAAACCCACAGGAATAGTGATTGAGTAGTAAAGGAAGAAGATTGATAGAACCTAAGCACAGTAGAGGCTGGCAACAGAGTAGTCTAGAATTTTAGAGCTACTGTATGTCATTGCTTATTGTGATATTTTAGAAGTTCCTTATTCCAATTAATTGAAAATTATCAATAAAAGTTGGTTATATACAATAGCCTTTTGTTATTATTTTTGGGGGTGGGGTTAGTTTAAAGAAAAAGACCTATAGGTTCTATGTTGGGTCTACTTGGGCTAGGGAGAGGCTAGCAACTGTAGAAGGTGATAATGTGAGAGCAAGAATCCATGGGAATAGAAAATAAAACAAAAGTCAGCAAAGAGCATGAACTAGCCCTTAAATATTGGACAGGGTCTTGACTTAGGTTAGTACATTATCTGGATCTGATTTTGATGCCAAAAGAGTTGGATCACTTGGGCAGATTACATGAATTTTTATGTAGCATAATTTTAAAAAATATAATTTATTTAAGTGGGAGAGGAATAGGGAGAGGGAGACCAACCCACTAGGCTGCCCACTCCTGTAGCAGAATTTTGAAGTAAGGAATAATATAACTAATATCACCCCCAAATCAAAAAATAATAAATGTTGATGAGAAAGTGGGGAAAAAAAGGTACCCTAAACCACTGTTGGTGGGAATGTAAACTAGTACAATCACTATGGATGACAGTATGGAGATTCCTCAGAAATCTGAAAATAGATCTACCATATGACCCAGCCATCCCATTCCTAGTGATTTATCCAATTGTAATGAAATCAGCATGTTGAAGAGTTATTTGTACCCCATTCTTTTTGCAACTCAATTCACAATAGCTAAAATATGGAATCAACCCAGATGTCTGTCAACTGATGACTAGATAAAGGAAATGTGGCATATGTACACCACGGAATACTACTCAGCCACAAAAAAGAATGAAATCCTGTCTTTTGCAAGAAAATAGAGTAAATGGAAATCATTATACTTAGTGAAATAATCGGCCTCAAAAGACAAATATGTATTTTCTCTGATATGTAGTAGTTAATATGGAATACAAAAAAGTATAGAAGCAAAATAGACATCTTGTGATTTGATTTTGTTATTATTCTTTGTTTGAACTCCTATGGAGTTGTGATATTTTTACTTTTTATTTATTGAATATTATGATTAAGTAGTTCATTAAGCCTGTCATATAGTAGACTGAAATTATGTTTTTACAAAAAATATTAAAAAGGAAGGAAGGAAGGGGATTGAGGGAGGGAATGAAGGAGGGAAGGAAGTGTGGTTATCTTCTTAGAATTGTACCTATGAAACACATGAAATGTTTTCTTTACATTAATAAAAATTTTCAAAGATGAGATAAAAGAATTTGAAATCTACTAAAGATGAAATGTAATGTTGATGATTACTTAGCATCTTCTGTGTCATGTTACCCTGCATAAGACCTTGATGATAAGGATCATTTTCCCCCTTCATAAAGGACAAATTTCCTCTAAAATTACATGTATAAGAATGGGAAGCAATTTTGAATTTCCCTTATGAAATAATTGATAGCTGTAAGCATATTGTTGATTTCACTCTCAACCAGGAATCATCTTAAGGTTATTCTAAGTCAGATGGGAGCCAAAATAATATTTTCAGGTTCTAGTATATTATCAGGACTATTTAAATAGGTAATATTTGCTTAAGGGATTTGTGGTAGGTATCTATTATTTTATATAAATAAAAAATAAATGTTGAGCAGCAGCAAGTTAATCTGTGGAAATGATTGATTACTGCATTTTCATTGATGTTTTAGGACCTCTATCCAGAGAAGGGTGTTTTCTGAATGAAGAGTAGATAAAAGCAATATGGCCTTCTCCAGTGGGTTAATGTATGCATGATCCAATGGAATACTTTCTTTTTTAGATACATGTGAGAGAGAAATAAGAGAGGGAGGGAGGGAGTGAAGGAGAAAGAGATTGGTCCCATTTTTTGGTTCACATTCCAAAATACTTGATAAGCCAGCTAGGGACCACAATAGTCAAGCTGGGGAGAGCCAGCACTCAATCCAGAACTCTTACAGGGGTGGCAAGTAACCATTCACTTGAGTTATCACCTGCTGCCTCTAGGAGTTCCACTAAAGACTGAGATTAACACTTTCTATTTTTTTTAATTAATTTATTTTTTTTTTGACAGGCAGAGTGGACAGTGAGAGAGAGAGACAGAGAGAGAAAGGTCTTCCTTTGCCATTGGTTCACCCTCCAATGGCCGCCGCGGCCGGCGCGCTGCGGCCGGCGCACCGCGCTGATCCGATGGCAGGAGCCAGGAGCCAGGTGCTTTTCCTGGTCTCCCAAGGGGTGCAGGGCCCAAGCACCTGGGCCATCCTCCACTGCACTCCCTGGCCACTTTCTATCTTAAAGCAGGAAGCTGGGTATCAAACCTTGGTACTCCAATATGGGATGCAGCCATTTTTTAAAAAAATTTATTTAATGAGCATAAATTTCCAAAGTACAGCTTATGGACCACAATAGCCTCCTCCCCCCCCCCCCCGTGTCTTCCCTCCCATCCACAGCGCTCCCCTCTCCCACTCCCTCTCCCCTTCCCCTTCACATCACAATTAATTTTCAATTATCTTTATATATAGAAGATCAATTTAGCATATGTTAAGTAAAGATTACCACATTTTGCTCCCACACAGAAACATAAAATGTAAAATACTATTTGAGTACTAGTTATAGCATTAATTAAACACCTAAGAGTAATTGTGTATTAATTACAGAGCTCAACCAATAGTTTTAAGTAGAATATAAAATGCATCTTTTGCATTGTTGTGGCTTCCCCCCGACCTCCCTCCCTCCCATGGCCCTCCCCTCACCCACTTCCTCTCCCCTCTCCCCCCTTCATCACGTTTCATTTTCGGTTACCTTCATATACCGAAGATCAATTTAGTATATACTAAGCAGGGATTTCAACAGGTTGCACTCACACAACCGAATCAGGTATAGGGTATTGTTCGACTAGTAGTGTTGTTTTTGAGTTTCATAGATAAACATATTAAGGACAGAGATCCTGCGAGGGGAGCATGAACCCAGTGACTCCCGTTGTTGATTTAACAATTGGCACTCTTATTTATGACGTCAGCAATCACCCGAGACTCTTGCTATGAGCTGTCTAGGCTATGGAAGCCCCTTGAGTTCACCAACTCTGAATTTGTTTAGTCAAGGCCATATCACAGTGGAGGTTCCTTCCTCCCTTCAGAGAAAGGCGCCTCTCTCCTTGATGGCCTGATCCTTCTGCTGGAGTGTTGTTCACCAGGATCCTTCATTTAGATTGTTTTTTGCCACCGTGTCATGGCTTTCCATGCCGGATGCAGCCATTTTGACCTTGACACAATACTTTTGAGTGATCAAATTCAAGAGCTTGAGAGCTGAACCCTTGAGTTATCTTAAGACTTAAGCTATGGCCCAAGAACTTGGAACATGTATTCAATCTACAATAAGTGCAGGACTTCCCTGGAGGTATTATGGAAGGTGTTTGAACCATAATTAAGAGCAGGATGAGGATAAATGCAAAATAAGAAGCCAGATTGCAGGAAGCACTTCCTAATCAAAATGCAATTTAGATCCAACTTATCCTAACACTTCTTTGATTGCTTCAAGTACATATATGCTTTGCAGTAATTTAAAGGCCTGCACCTGGCATGACTTACCAATTTTCAGAGATACAGAAAAAGTACAACTTACCCAACAAACCCAAATCTACTTTATATAATTGAACTCTTCTTTGATTCAGAAGTCACTTTAAAATCTTCCATTTTTTTCTCAGGGTCTTCACTTACGTACATTATTGAACAGCTGGTTTCTTATGAATTGAGTAAAAGAACAAATCCAATAAATATTATTATAGATGAGGCAGTTTCCATTCTTTTTCACTTTGAATGACTATTAAAGTCAAATGTTTAGAGGCAAGAATTACTGGGCAGAGGATTTTCTACCTCTGCGCACAATTGGAATGATATTCAAGGTCACAGCATCCTTAGTTATGCATTATTGAGAAGAAAAATGGTCAGGGGAAGAAAAGGTAGGCAGTTATAATTATGAGAGTACTGGGCACATGTGAAGTACCAAGTAAATGGTTATCTTCTATTCACAGTGTAGACGCTGTGCTGTTCTTTCCAGTCTTAAGTATATTTTGTTCATTCAAACATCATTTTCAAATATAGGAAGTGGATATTTCACTAGGCATTGGAGAAACAGATATGAAAGACATTTTGTTCTTGAGTTGCTCATGGTCTAGATAGGAAGACAGAGTAAATACTTCAGATAAATACTACCTGTGATAAATTCGTAAAAAAGTTTGTATAATGAATAAAATACCATCCTAATTTTATCTAGTATGGGGGCTTAAAATGTGGCTATTTGGTTGAAAACCCTTTTAATGATGGGGAGAACTGTAGTCTTCGTCTTATGTTTCAATGTTTACTATTCATAAATCTAGATGCTGGCCTTCCGTATTTTTTTTTTTTATGTTAGAATAGGATGGCAGCCATAAATGTGTTCAAAGTTAATACAGTATTTTAACTGATACTTTCTGTTTTAGGTAACCACATGGTGGATATTGGAAATATTGTATTTGTTTTGAATGACCTACATCAGCAATATGAAGATGTTTGTAAGTTAGCTTCTTTTGCTATAACAAGTTTTGTTTATAAAGAAATTGTTTTAAAAATAAAGCCTAATTTGCAGTTTTAAAAGCTTTCTCTGCACCCTTTAACCCTAAATCAGGGAGATAAAAATTTAAGGCAATACTCTAAATATATTAGTTAATTAATTTATATCATTTATATGACTATCTTGCAGAATTCCTTTTATCTTTCCCTCAAATATTTTTAAAAAGATTTTTTAAATTTATTTAAAAGAGTTAGAGAGGTAGAGGCAGAGAGGGAGGTCTTCCATCCCCTGGTTCACTCCCCAGATGGCCGCAATGGCTGGAGCTGTGCCCATCTGAAGCCAGGAGCCAGGAGCTTCTTCCAGGTCTCCCACGCAGGTGCAGGGGAACAAGGCCTTGGGCCATTGTCTACTGCTTTCCCAGGCCATCGCAGAGAGCTGAATCGGAAGTGGGGCATAGCAGAGAGCTAGATTGGAAGAGGAGCAGCCAGGACTAGAACCAGTGCCCATACGGGATGCTGGCGCTTTCATGCCAGGGCTTTAACCCGCTGCGCTACAGCACCAGCCCTTCCCTCAAATATTACAACATAAAATCAGATTTAAAATAAAATAGCACTCTTTCACTTCCCTTCATTTGTCTAAATATCATTTGGCCAAGATTATATGTGAGCCTAATTTAAAGAATTGTACAGCTTCTTGAAGCTTCTTACAAAAAAAGTTGCCCCCTGCTTGATCTTGCATCAAGCTTCTCTGGAGATAAGCTTTTTAACTGAGACTTATCTTTATCACATGTTTATGTTGCTACTTGTTGATTTTTAAAATGCTGTTTAATTTATTTGAAATAGTGACAGAGAAAGAGAGGGAGCGAGTGAGAGACAGAGATAAACCCAGAGAGAGTCAAAGAGATAGGTCCTATTAACTGGTTCACCCTCGAAATGCCTCAGAAGCTAAGGCTAGGCTGGGCTAAAGTCAGGAGTTGGAATCTCCATCTGGATTTCCTATATGGGTGGCAGAGAATCAAGTACTTGAGCCATCACCTACCACCTCCTAGGAAGCTATAATTGGGAGAGGATCTGGAATGGAATCCAGTACTCTGATGTGTGATACAGGCATTCCTAGCAATGTTTTAACTACTGTGGGAAACACTTACCCTGCCACTTGTTGATTTTTAAAATTTTAATTAGATGTAGTAAACTTCCTACTTTGAAAGATGAGGATTTACTTCTGTTTAATTTTGTATGTCCCCAACATACTTAGTCTTCTCTACACCCATCCATTGTCCCAATATAGTTATATAATAATTTGGTTTATTTCTTATGTAGTACTTTTATTAACATATCTATTAAACACTATTCACAGCTGAGCCATATAATATTTTATGGTTAATTTCTTTTTTGTGTGTGTGCAACTTTTTTCCTTTTTTGATTTGATTCCTAATGAATTTTTTGAAGTCTGTTCAATTTGCCATCATTACCTGAAAGTTTCAGATTTCATTTTGAATTCTAGTTTTTTCTTCTCATGCAGAAGTTTTTTCATCTATTTTTACCACTTACATAGATGTCACTGATAATCACACATCTATTCCTGTGCACAATGTAGCATTTTTTTTTACCTCTTCTTTATCTTTACTTTTTTCTGTTAGTTATTTTTCTAAGAAAAGAGTGTTGTCTCAAAATTGTAATTCTTTCAGTTTGCTAGACTTTTCTTCATATAGCTTGAAGTGCTATCTTTTGCTGCATTAACATTTAGCATAGTTGTGTCTTCTTGGTGAATTGACTCTTTTAGCATCAAATAATTATTCCTCTTTATCACTGGAAATTTTCTTTGCTCTGAAATCTGCTTTATTTATTTATTTATTTATTTTGACAGGCAGAGTGGACAGTGAGAGAGAGAGACAGAGAGAAAGGTCTTCCTTTGCCATTGGTTCACCCTCCAATGGCCGCCGCGGCTGGCGCGCTGCAGCCGGCGCACCGCGCTGATCCGATGGCAGGAGCCAGGAGCCAGGTGCTTTTCCTGGTCTCCCAAGGGGTGCAGGGCCCAAGCACCTGGGCCATCCTCCACTGCACTCCCTGGCCACAGCAGAGAGCTGGCCTGGAAGAGGGGCAACCGGGACAGAATCCGGCGCCCCGACCGGGACTAGAGCCTGGTGTGCCGGCGCCGCTAGGCGGAGGATTAGCCTAGTGAGCCGCGGCGCCGGCCTGAAATCTGCTTTATTTAATATTAACATAACCACTACAGATTTGTCTTAGTTCATTTTCTTTTACTATAACGAAATACTCAAGATTGGGTAATTTATGAAGAATTGTAAATTTAGTTGTCTCATAATTCTTAAGACTGGGAAAACCAAGAGCATGGTGCTGGCATCCTCTTGGCATCTGGTGAAGGCCTTTTATTGTATCATCACATTGCAGAGGACATCATATGGCAAGGCGGAACAAATGTGCTAGAGTTGGTCTCTTCCACTACTTAAAAAAACACTAATACTGTTACAGATGCTCCACTTCAATAGTAGTTACTTCCCAGAGGTCCTACCTCCAAATACTACAAACTTACAAATATGGAGATTTGGTTTCCAGCACATGAACTTTGAGAGATATATTTAAATCATAGCAGCTTTTCTTTTCATTAGTATTTGCATGGTATATATTGTTCATCCATTGCTTCTAATCTTCCTATATTAATATATTAAATGTATTTTATAAATCACATGGAGTTGGGTGATGTGTTTGTATTCATTCTTAAAACATCTTTTAAATTGGAGTGTTTAGTGACATGTAATTATTGATATATTCAGATTTAGGTATACTGTGTTTTTTTTGTTTCCCCCAACTTTCTGTGTTTTTAAGCATATTTTAACATTCCTTTAAAATTTGTATGTTACTATGTCTGTATTTTCCAGTTATTGTTCAACAATGATACTGTACATACTTAACCTTTTACAAAACACTAAAATATTTTCCACATCAAGTGGAACATAGAAATTTTACTACTAATGTCCTTTCACTTTCACCCCTTTATATTGTGATTTTCTTATGTATTATAAAATAACACTTATAATTTTGCTTTGAATCATTAAATATTAATATAAAGCTCTCAAGAGGAGAATAGTCTATTTAAACAAGTTGTTACCATTCTGTTTCTCTTCCTTTATTACCTACTGCTTAGATGTCTTATCTGTATTATTTATTTACCTTTGTTTAAAGAATTTCTTTTGGGGCTGGCTCTGTGGCATAGTAGGCTAAGCCTCCACCTGCAGTGATGGCATCCCATGTAGGCACTGGTTCATGTCCTGGTGGTTCCTCTTCTGATCCAGCTGTCTGCTCTGGCCTGGGAAAGCAGTAGAAGATGGCCCAAGTCCTTGGGTCCCTGTACCCACGTGGGAGACCTGGAGGAAGCTCCTGGCTCCTGGCTTTGGATCGGCCCAGCTTCGGTTGTTGTGGTTGTTTGGGGAGTGAACCAGTGGATGGAAGACCTCTCTGTCTTTCCTCTCTGTAACTCTCCTTTTTGTCTGTAACTCTCAAATATATGAAAAAATCTATAAAAAGGAATTTCTTTTAGTAATATTTTTATATCAGATATATTAAAAATGAATTATCCTAGTTTTTCTTTATCTGAGACTGTCTTTATTTCTCTTGCATTCCTGAGGTTGAATTCTGGGTTGATGGTTATTTATTTCATTATTTAAAATTATTTGTTCCATTTACTTCTTTCTTTCTTTCTTTCTTTCTTTCTTTCTTTCTTTCTTTCTTTCTTT